CACAGCTCAAGGCAGTGAGTGAAATCTTTAGTCAGAGGAACCCAGACACCTTCAGTCCACAGCACAGGACAGGTGTCAATCCAGACCTTCAGCACAGAGCACACTCGGACCCAGAGGACACCGTGAAGGACCCCAGACTCATTGGCAGCAATAAGAGAAGGGAGTTTTGTGACTGGAAAGTCAGGCTCATGAACTTCGCCTTTGGAAACCACTGCTCTCAAAGCCAGCCCAGGTCCAGCCAAGGCTCTGGAAGCTCTCGAGAGGAAGCTGGAGTTCAGGGGATGTGACAGTTTGAATTGCATTTCCTGTCATAACCTTGTAGCCACGGTTTTTTTCTCCCAAGCAGGAAATGAATTGTTTCCTTATTGCCAAAGACCTGAGATAAAAGGTTAAGTGTCCCAGAGCGGAATGTCGTCCAGCATGCAGAATTCCCCCGGGAAACACGGACCAAGTACTCAACCTGTGACCAGAGGCACAGGGTCTTTCTAGTGAGGAAGAGAAGGGCCACCCCAGCTTTAGCCAAGAGGAAAGTGTCCCTTAGGTGAAGTGACTCTCTAAGAAGGACCCTGAACAGGAGAGTTGATTCCAGCAACTATCCACATGCCTGGAGCCCCAAACGTGGGGACCTGCTCAGCAGAGTGGCAATTTTACCTTCCTCCCAGAAGTGAAATTGGGCTGAGTTGAACCTACGTGTACTCACAACAGCCCTGGAGGGCTGAGGCCTGAGTTCCTGTCCTGTGGGAGCCCTGGAGCACGCAGCCCACGGACCATCTCCGAACACCCAATGTCAGAACTGGGGGTCTCTCTTATGATTTGACCTCACGAGCAACTGTGTGAAAACTAGGGTTAAATAAATGCTATGACACTCCACTGCAAGAAAAACTCACATGAGATTTGGTCACAGGAACTACATTTAAAGTAAAAATTGCTCATTTTACACAAGAAAAACAGATCTAGACTTTTCCCCTCAAACCACAGTGTTATGCTCCTGCTCTTTTCAAGGTCCTCCCTGTCATCCTTCTGGTCTCCGCTGGCAACACTGCATAAAATTTCCAGAGGTTCTTCTCTTGTTCACTAGTAGAATTGCCTGCTATGGCCATTTTGCAATTTCTCTCCTAATGTCTTAGGAATTTAGCACAATTTCATAGAAGGCATCCTACCTGGTCCTCCCCGACTGCTGAGTTCAAGGACACCCTGAGGATGCCAACCCCCGAGGCCACTGGAGTCCAGCAAGCCAACCCTCCAAGTCCATGGGGCTGCATCCTGGGATATGCAGGGCCATTCTTCTGTCACTTCACCAAATTCAAAGGTCTGCTCAAATTACAGCCTTTAGTTTTGTCTTTTTCTCCTACAGCCCATGTTTATCTGTGCCATATACACTGGCTTGTTGTGAAACTAAGTGTCCTTGCTCAGAAAGTTCAAGTACTTACAAATTCTTGTTTTTGAAAATTATCATATTTTAATTCATTAACCTAAAATATGTCAAAGTTTTCTCCTTTGTCTTGAGCTAGTTGTCCATGTCTTTTTAAAATGTCAAAAGTCGCTGGGCACACATGTCTATAATCCCAGGGACTGAATCCCAAGAGACTGAAACAGGAGGACTACAAGTTGGAGGCCAGCCTCCTCAGAAATTTAGTGAAACTCTGTCTCAAAATAAAGATGAAAAACAGAGCTGGGATGTAGCTCAGAGGTACAGATCCCTGGATTAAATCCTGAATACCACAAAAAAATATATATATTGTCAAAAGTTCATTGGGAATTTGTTTTATTTAAAATCACTGTCAGATTTTTTTCTATTTCTTACTGACAGGTAGATATTGAAATATACTTGCATTTAATCCTTTGTTATATATTAGCTTGCCACTTATATTTTAATTTGGTTTAGATTATCTTTTGAAATAAGCTACAAACTTATCAACTCAAAAAAAAAAAGCCAGACACTTCTTATAAATTTCCAAGAATATAGACTTGTATCTAACAAAAAGACTAGTTCATAATATTCAGTCACTTTTAGTGACAAAACTGGTAATTGCACACAGGCTTACCTACTTCACGCGGATGAGCAAAAGTTGCAAATATTAACTTGAAGCTAATGAATGGTGAGCATTATAGTTACATTTCACAAATTTATATCAGTGTATTTCCTCCATTCATCCGGGTGGATCTATAGTGACACACTCAACGTGAGCGTGCCCCTGTGTTCCTGCAAGAGGAGTTGGAGCCACACTGGAGCCGTGCATGGGAACTGGCAGCTCTCCTTCTGGGCGAAGGCAGAGATGCGGTGATAGCAATGTTGTAATAGCGTTCTGTGACAGGGTTCACTTGGGACACAGTGTTCTGTTCTTGTCAGTTCCTGTTAATCTAAATGTGACTTTTGCAATGAGGAAGAGAGGCAGCAATCTAAGAAAGCAACTTGTGAGAAAAAAAAAAAAACACAAAGAAGTAAACATGTGTGGCTTGTGAATGTTGAAGACTCTCACTTCTAAGGAAGTGCTCACCCAATGTTGGAGGGGACCCTGTGACTCCACGTGTGTGTGTGTGTGTGTGTGTGTAAGCACACACAAGTGTAAGCAAGTATGCGTTCCCACATTCATAGAAGATGAACCAGAAAGCGCCCGTGGATTCCACGGGAACTGGCCTGAACTTGGACGCACTGGAATTACATCAAAGGCACCCCAGAGGTTTTGGAGAGGAACCGAGCCAAAGCCTCTGCGTCCAGTTAGGGCGGAATCAACTCTGGGACTGGGTCTGGCGGGCGATCCTGCGAGCCAGAAACTTGATGGACGGTGCTGCTGAGCTAAGCCAGGCTGCAGTTGCGACATAAACGACACGTTCTTTTCCAGTTTCGGGGGAGAGCCAAGCTCAAGCCCAGGATGTCTTCATTTCCCTTCATTCCTCCCTTCCTCTTGAATTTAGAAATAACAGTGCAGTCGACAGACAAGCAAGAGATTTCTCAATGCCTTCTCCCAGGGCACCCACATACCGCGGGCAGAAGGGTGGGAGCCAGTCCCAGAGTGGCCGCACAGGAGCCTCCCGGGAAGCCTCTCTCCCGCCACTCTCAGGAGTCCTTCCTGGCCGCTGTGGTGGCGCCTGGAGGCAGGTCTCTCTGGAGGGTCGGGCATGACTAGGAGTGGCCTGGTGTCCCCTGCCAGCGTGGATGCCCCCCCAGCTCCTGGAGGGGCTGAGTCAGCGCCCCGCGGCAAGAAGTGCGGTGCCGTGGGCTCCTGGAGGTGCTCTGCCGTTTGGTGCCGGGTTTGAATCTTGGCTCCCCACTCAAAGAGCCAGAGGGACTCTGACCTCTTGGCACTTGCTGGGGTGAATCCAGCCACTTTGGGAAGGAAAAGTCAAGAGACTGAAGGACAACGCCAGGGGCCAGGCCCGGCTCGCACCTGCACGTCTCCAGAGCAGTCAGTGGCCCCAAGGCCTCGTGGGCCAGGCAGGAGGTGCCAGCCAGATGCTAGGGAGAGCTTCCCGGAGGCGCCAGAAGGGAGGCCACGAAGGGCTGTAAGGCAGAGCTCCTCTGGACTTCTCCAAAATCCCCGAAAGGAGAAATGCGCGCCAGCTGCCCCCACATCCTCAGAATCCCTCCTCTTCGTTTTTTTTTCTTTTTTTTTTAACTGTGAAGGTTACAGTCTGTCGGCGAGACTTCTGCTAATCCAGACGACAGGGCAAGAGTGTCATGGGGTTGGCTGCTGGTGACGTTTAAAACACAAAATTTGCCCTGCCCGTGGGTCCCGTCCCTTGTGCAGGCTACAGTTAGGAGGGATCTCACGATGCTCCACACACTCCCTGCAGGGTGACCTGCCTGTCGCCCAGCAAAGCCCTGCCTGGCAGGGTGCCACCCACTGCCCTGGATTCTACGCAGTTCCTGCTTGAGCCTGTCCCTGCCTCCACCTCCGTCCCCCCACTCTCCAGCTTAAGACACACTGGGGAACATGGCTGCCTCTTCCTGCTGGAGTCAGCTGAACCCCAGGAGCCAGGGTCCGCTGGCTGAGCTTGGGACCAGGGCCTGCACTCCAGGCAGATGGGTCAGGATCCAAACACGGAGCTTCCTCCGTTCCCGACCCTGAGACTTGCAGCAGGTGTAGAAGGTGATCTTATTTAACTTGAGGGAAGGAGTCTCAGGAGGCTCCGAGGGAGGCAGAACCTGTGCGTCTGGTTCATTCTCTCTGACCTTAAACAGTATATCCAAGGACTAAAGTGCTTCTTTTTATATTTATGTGCATCCAAGTTGGCAGCGTGGCTATGCTCTGCACATAGTGGTATATGTTTGCTTCCTGGGATAAACTGGATTAAAAACTGTTCATCTTTATGGATGGGCTCTTGTAAGCTGCAAATTTGGAAATCCTAAAAGCAAAGCTTAGCAGAGCAAACACAGCAGTGCCCTCATGGAGGAACACGTGGGGCTTTGGAACCAGAACCCAGGCTTCAGCCAGGACTTGGGAATATCACTTTAAAACAAAAAGTGTGTGTGTGTGTGTGTGCGTATGTGTGTGTGTCTGTGTGTATGCACGATCAACCTCAAACCCATCTCCAAACTCACACTAGCTCAGTTCTAATTTTGGTAGTCGTGTAAATAGCAGGGGAAAAACATTACCTGTGGGTCAGGTGTTTGTCCCTGGTGAATGTTAATGCAGATAAACATAACCACTTTTGCAACTGGCTCTTGTAATTTCTCAGAACTGCTTAAAATAATGACAGCCATGACTCAGAAATAAGTACTTTTCTCCGGGGCTCACTTTATGAAATGTAATTAGGGTTTTACCTGTTTACCAAGGGCATATTAAAAAGAGTAAAATTCCAGAGAAAGTGGAGGGGAATCTAACAAACATGCATAGCTCTGATTTTCCCAAGTGATCAGTCAGTTTTAGGTATCAAATAGCAACTCTGCTAGTCTCACAGTGAGTACTGTGACCTTGAGCTTGCCAATCATGACTACCATCTACACAGCACATCTTTGGAGAAGAGAATTTTACTACCCCAGAATTAACACAATTCAGTTAAGTAACTAAGCTATTTAATAAAAATACAAGAGACATATACAAATGGTGTGTACATTCCATGGCTTTTACATACCATAATTTGTAGCATGTTATTGTTTTGGGTCTCCAAGCATATGCTAATTTCAATGAAAATAAATTTATAAAATTAAATATAGATATATACGTATACACACATACAATATATAACTCAAATCTGAAGGTCAGGGATTTACCAAAGATGTGCAGGAGGAGTCTTATAGAGTAGGAGAAATTATAAATCTTACTATGAACTCCTCTGAAAATAACTAATTTTTAGACATTACCAGTCACTTTCAAGTATTCTCTCTTTTTAAGACAAATGCACATATTCTCACTGCTTACAGGACATGGTGAAGAGCCATCAATTTTTTCTTTTGCAATCTCTGCTTGCAAGTCCCAGAGCAGACCTGGCCTTGCCTCCAGGTGGCTAAGTCTGATAAAACTTAGGTTGCACCTGAGCTCATCAGGACAGGACACGGATGTCAGAAAGGGACCATCCAGCCCAGGTCAGCTTCCCCTAGAGCACTGGCTTTCACAAGAGCCTCTCTCGAGTCTGCACTCTAAATCAGAAAAAAATAGCAGGGTACATTTTGGAAGCTCCTCAATTTCTTGTTTATGTTTTTACTTTTTCCTTGATTGGTTGTTTTGTTCTTTGTTTGTTTGGTTGGAGAACAGTGCTCCATCCAGAGAGCACCCCCTTTTCTTTTAAAATATGATTATTATATGGGTGGCTTAATCCTTCCAAGGTGATGTTCCAGGAAGATGCCAGACCACCAGATCCAATCCGACAGGCAGGATGGCTGCTGCACCTTCTGACCTCAAAGTGAGGTGTCTGGGGCACTGCACTGATCTCAGGAAGGTGGATTTGAACTCTGCCTTCAGAGCTAGCTGAGAGTGAAACCTGTGCTGAGGCTCCAAGCCTCAGTTTCTCCTTCATAAAATGATGGTGGTGATGATGATGGTGGTGGTGGTGATGATGGTGGTGGTGGTGATGATGGTGGTGGTGGTGATGATGGTGATGATGTTGGTGGTGGTGGTGGTGGTGATGATGGTGGTGGTGATGATGGTGGTGGAGATGGTGTTGGTGGTGGTGGTGGTGGTGATGATGGTGGTGGTGATGATGGTGGTGGTGATGATGATCAAGGTGGTGGTGATGATGTTGGTGGTGGTGATGATGGTGGTGGTGGTGATGATGGTGGTGGTGGTGATGATGTTGGTGGTGGTGATGATGGTGATGATGGTGGTGATGATGGTGATGGTGTTGGTGGTGGTGGTGGTGGTGGTGATGGTGGTGGTGATGATGATCAAGGTGGTGGTGATGGTGGTGATGATGACAATAATGGTGGTGGTGGTGGTGGTGGTGGTAATGTTGATGATGACAATAGTGGTGGTGGTTGTGGTGGTGACAGTAATGATGATGGTGGTGGTGACAGTGATGATGGTAGTGGTGGTGGTGGTAGTCATGATGATGGTGGTGGTGATGGTGGTGATGATGATGATGGTGGTGATGGTGGTGGCAGTAGCAGTGGTGGTGGTGGTGATGGTGGTGATGACAATGATGGTGGTGATGATGACAATAATGACAGCAACAATGATGATGGTGGTATGACAATGGCTCCACCACCATCAGAGGCTTTTATGATATTTAAGTGAATTGCAGATACATTACACTGTGAATGAGATGCACTTGATATGTGTTAGCGAGTATCATTTTTATGATCTTTGTATTTTTAGTAGAAGTATGACTTAATGAGAGCACCCCTGGGGTGGAAAACCAATTGGGAAAATTTATGACAATTTTACACAAAAACAAGTTACGTATGGTCAGGAGATGAAATGAAAGTCAGGCTCCACAGTAGGATTCTGGTGGCACCCACATTCCCCCCACTGGAGCTTGGTGACACAAGATAGAACACAAGAACATTCTGGCCTTTTAGTTTTTGCAATTGCCTCTGACCCCTGTGTGTCAGCGATACCCTCTGCGGCAACCTTAGGGCCCTCCGTGGCGAAGGCTCTCCAGCTTGGCCATCTGTCCTCAGTTCAGGTTGAGCAAAGCTCACCCAGGCCATTCTCAACTGAGTCTTGTTGTTCCTCTGCTTGGAAGGGTTAGGGTTAGGGTTAGGGGTAGGGGTAGGGGTAGAGTTAGGGTTAGGGTTGGAAGTTCTCACTTCTGCAGCAGCCGTCCCCACATTCATGATGGGTAAAAGACTGACGCAGTTAAAGGCGCTAACATTGGTCAAAAATATTATAAATATTTACCCTTTTGTGTTTGTCTTTTAACTTTGTTCCTGCTTTTAGTTTTTAGTTCATTTAAATCCTGAATTTCATTCTTACATGTTTCTGTGGTTTCTTCACCTAGCTGTGGTCTTAGAAATCATCCTCCCCAGGTTAGATAGGTTTAACTTAGATCTTCATTTTTTTTCCTCTTTTGACATTTGATTTTCTATTTTCTCTTTGACATTTGGTTCTTTTAAATTTAGTTTGAAATAAAAATCTAAGTATTTTTGGTTTTGCTTTAGGTTTTGGTTTTACAAATATTATATGATATCTGGGAATTATTTACCAAATTAAACTCAGGCAGCGCACTCTGATGGTACCACCTCCGGTGATCGCATGTATCTACAGATCTTGAGAAGAAACAGTTGCCTGCTGCCTGAACCAATCTGTCCAGGAGCCCTTTCCTGCTGGGTCCCTGCTCTGCAGCTATGGCATGTCATGGCCAACAGCTCAAGGTGCCTTCTGCTGGTTCATGGACATTTCCTGTGGGACCCACAATCCTAACTGCATTGTTTTAAGCAGGTGACTGCCTGCTAAAGGGTGTGGCAAACCCCAAATCTGGCTGAGGGCAAGCGCTGAGTGCCCAGCCTGTAGATATACCTTACTCCTGAAGATCACTGAGAAACTTCAGTTGCATCAGCCCTGGGCCCTGGCCATGCTGGGGAAGGGGCCAGCACTGTGGCCTCACCTGCCCAGCTGGATTTCCAAAGTACACAGACCGAGGCACCTGGATCTCATCCTCCGCTGACTTATGTCCAGGCAAGGTCCCATAGTGAGTGTGAAGCACCTGGGGCAACCGCTTGAAGCTCGGTCATACCCAGGCAGCCAGAAGAGCCCCTGCTCTCAGATGGCCACACCCAGGACCCTGAGGATGGGACACTCAAGGAGGACAGACCACGACCCACAGAAGGAAACGGGATCAAGACACCCGCGAAGGAGCGGCACACTGGATAGAGAGCAGGGGAGCAGGGCTCAGGGTGGCCCCCAGCACTCACCAGTCACCGCAGGAGAAAGGAGAGAAGAAGCCACGGACCCCCACCCTCAGGTCGCAGAGGGCACACCGTCAGCCTGGGGCAGGTCGAAATGCTGCCATCTGAGGACGCAGGGGTCGCCCTGGACTCCCCTGCCAGAGAGGCTTGACCTGAACCAGCCACAGGGAAGCATCGGCAGACCCAGGTTGAAGGACATCCCACCACGCAAGTGACCTGCAGTGCTCAGCCTCGGCCTGGAGAGTCAGAGAACGGTGGACTTCTCCAGGTTGGCGGAGACTGATGTGACGCAGCAGCTAAGTGCCGCTCGCCCTTGGGAGGGGCCCCTTTTGTTTTACAGGGCATTGGGGGCAGACCGGAGTGGAGGGCCTGAGGAGGTGGAGAAGCTGTGCCCGGGTGATTCTCTGACTCTGCCGGCTCACGTTGATCATGCTGTGGAAGAGGTATCCTGAAGCCTTCACGGCTGCTTTGGGGTGCCCACGAGCCCTCCTGGGCTGGTGGGAAATGGGTGAGTTACCCTCAGAGGGTCCAGGGCTTGCAATGTCTCTGCAAGTAGTTTACACTTGTTGGAAAAAAAAAAATACCAACTCAGACGTTCTAAAACAGGTTCCTTCATAGATGCAGAGGGAGGAAAACTCTGGACACCTCCGCAGCAGCCTCTGCGCCCACTGGTGGCATGCCCCCTTCTCCTGCTCTGTGGCTCTGGCCTGGAGTGTTCCAGAACACATGAGCCCCAGCTGCCACGAGCCAGGCAGCCCCACAAGGTCAGTGCATTGCCAGGTGACAAAAAGCCTCGTAGTTTGCCAGTATCCTAAATAAAGGACAATGAAACCAACAGATGATCTCCACCAGCTGCCAACCCAGGAGGACCGCAGAAGGCATGCTGACTCCACCAGAGAGGGGCAAGAGGCTTCTGTCCACCACCAGCCAATGAGGAGAGGTCACAGACTCTTAGGCCAGGGATGGTAGCAACACTAAAAATAGCCCCAGCAACCATGTCCAATGTGTGCTATGTCCTCCATGCTCCCAACCCATGAGGTCATCGCAACAACCCTGAAACATGAGTTCAATCAGCCTCCCACGTGGGAGAGGGGGAACTGACAGCCCAGGAAGCTCACGTAACTGGAGCGGTGTCACGTGGCTGCCTGTGATCATCGGGACACAATCCCTCACAGCGGAGAAACCTGAGACAAAGAAACGTCCCCGGGCTGGCCTACAGTGACATGGCCCGCAGAGACCAGTGCACCTAGCTCTCATTCTCGACCTGCTCTCCACACCTGCACTCTCCTGCCTCCCAGGTTCTTCTCTAAAATCATTTTTAATTGACACCTAATAACTGAACATATTTATGGAGTACAATGTGACTTTTTACACACAGACAACGTGGAGTGATCCAAACAGGGTAATTAGAACTTCCCAACAGTCACCTTTCCTTTGCATTGGCATTATGCGGGACTCCTTCTTGTAGCTCTTCTGCAGCGCCCAGCAGATGATGGCTACGGTGACCCTGGTGACATGCTAGGGAGCGCCGACACTTGCTCCTTCTAACTCCCATGTTCGTGCCCCTCCTCCCAGAACCACCGTTCCCTTCTCTGCCTGCTGGGGTCCTGCTTTCTCAGCTTGGTATTGACCCTTGAGGGCTTGCCCTCGCCAGCACCATGGGGTGGTGCCAGGACCTTGAAGCGAAAGTGAAGGGGACGCACTTCATGCAACGTGTTTGAAGCAGCCTGAGGCAGCAGGAAAGCGTTCCTGTCCGGCCTTGGCACCTGCCAGCTGTGGTTGCCGGGACAACCTCCTCACTCTTTCTGGAGATAGAGCACATCTTTCCCCTCTGCCTGCCTCCAACGATGGGAACTGAGTTTCGATCAACAGGCAGAGGCAGTTTACGTCCCAGCCCAAACCCTGCCCCAGGTAAGGGGCTCCCCTGTAGGTATCCTGTTCTGAGGGGGCTTTCTTTCAAATATTTGGGTAACGACAGTGTCCAGGGATAACCACAAAGCCACTAGAGTCATCAGGACCACTTCCTTGACTGTGCCGCAGAGCAGCACCTGGGAGGCATTGCCATGGAGACGAGATGCGTGGCGCAGGCAGGGGGGGGAGCACAGGCCCAGGCTGGGGCCGCTGCACACTGGTCCGTCTGGTTTCACTTGGGTGCTAACATTCTGTGGCCTCTCGGCTCCGCGTGCCCAGGGTGGTATCTGTCATATAGCTGAGCGGAGACGGGGCCAAAGTGAGGCTTGGGGTCCAGCCTGTGCCCTATGGCACTCCTCCTTCACCCACCAGCCACTCCTTCCTCAGCAGGTTCCAGTGACAACTGGGTGCCGTGAGCAGACCCAGCAGGGGCTCCAGGGTACCCAGCAGCCACCGAGGGGAGCTTGGAGGAGCTGCCACCACCCTCCCATGTGCTCAAAGTACACAGGCTCAGAGCAAGTCAGTGCAGGAAGTGGAAGGCTGAAGTGAGATGAGAGGTCTGGACAGCAAGCCCAGCAAGTGACCAGCCACAGGGCAGAGACAGTCCCTCTCCACTCTTGGAGCTCCTGTTCCTTGTTGTGTCCAGCCCTCCTTGTGGTTCTGGACTGGGCCGATGCCCCTCTCTTCCCTGGTAGACAGCGGGTCACTCTAGCCCACCTGAGCGACGCGGGCCTGTCCACACTCACTTCCTTTAGCTCACATTTAGGCTCAGAGGTTGCAGTAGAGGAGGTGGAGAAGGGACCAGCGACTGTGACAGGCATGCGACACAGGCACCAAGGTCCCAGCCTCTTCAGGAGGGCAGGCAGGTGACCACCTCGGAACAGGCAGAAAGTCTTTGCTCTCTGTGTGGCCACTTCCAACAATCCTGCCTTGCATGCCAACCCTCTCTAGACCCAGGGGTCCCTCCTGGAGCCCCCACAGGTCAAAGGCACCGTTGGAATCAGACAGTAATCCTGCTCGTGGTATGATAATGGTCATAACAATGTGCATTCATGACCATTTTAAGAGTTTTTAGAAATCAGTTTATGGTGCCAGTGACCTAAAGCGGGTGTCCTTGCCGGGCTGCGTTCGAGTCCCCTCTTGACAGGGCTCTGCTGGAGCCGCAGCAGCATCCCCGTCCTGTAGTTGGGGAAAGAAACCCGCCCACAACCACGGCAAGCAGAGTCTTTTCCTGACCTGGGAACCTGCTCCGTGTCACACAGCAGATAGGACATCTAAGTGGTCCTCAGAGTCCATAGGTGGCAGCAGCCTTCAGCCACTTAATGGCACCATGCAGTCTGTCCCACTAAGGACAGTTGTTAAGCCCTATCAGCCCCCACAAAACTTCTGGGAAATCCAGAGGCCTGGGCTGCAGCCCAGGGTTCCAATCCAGCTCGCCCAGCAGCCCAGCAGGGTCCTCAGCTGTCTGGCTCAAAGCTGGGCAGGTGAACCCCTCCACCGCAGCGGCAATGCTGGGGCATCCCGCTCATCTCCGCCCGTCTCCTGGTCAGAGTGGTGTTTCCCCCTCTTATAGAAGGCGCAAGGTCCCTTTGCATGAGCGGCTTCGGCCATGGCTCTAGAAGGAGACGGGCAACACAGGAAGTGGAGCTGGGCACCTGATCAATGTCAGCAGGAAGTCCACCCTGGGGGCGGGAGAGCAGTCCTGAGGAACCCGGCGCTTGTCAGAGATGGAGTGCTTTCGGTTTCTTTAAAGCACAAACTCCCTCTGTCCGGCTCAGTGCTTGCAGCACAGGCAGTACTGTCACAAAGGTCATCTGCCTTCGCCAGCCTGTCTGGCCTGGCGGTAAACTGTCATGAACCACAGGCTCTGGGGTCCCTCTCCACCCTTTCCCCTCTCTCTTTCCACCTAAGGAAGACTTTAAAATGGGGACAATCCCTCATAACTCATTAAAAAAATCTACTCCTGGGTAAATACCTTTTTAAAGTCATGGAACAGGCTCGTGTTTCCTTCTTTTCAAAGACTTCAGTGAAACATTGGCTGCCCGTGTGAGCCTCCCTGCCTGGTTCACCGTGGCCCTGACGTGTTTCTCTCTGACTCTCCGCCGTGGAGCTGAAACCACTGTGGTAGGCATTGTGCAGAGGACGGCTTTTTATTTTCTGTGCTTAAGTGCAGGGCAGCCAAAACAAGAACATAATTATATCGTCAGAGTCAATAAGAGCATCAGCCCCGATCAGATCTTGCTGGGCTCAGCACTGTGGCACAGGAACTGCTGGGGAGCTCTTCCGCCACCAAATCCATTTGGCTCCATTTAGGAACTAAGTACAGGAAGGTAGTCATTGTGCAAGATTAGTTTCCTGTAGGCCGTAAATTGGCAGCAGCAGAAAAATACAGGATGAATTTATTAGCACACGGGGTCAGCTAAGAGGAAGACAGGGCGGGGCGACCGGCTCCTTTCCTTTAATTCAGCCACCTCCCGGCCTCAGCCTGAGCCCCTGCAACTGAAAAAAAAAAGACCCTTAAACTGCTTAATTACTCCTTAATAGTTGTAAGCAATTCAAAAGGCTGGTGTTACTCCTGCCTGGAGGGAAGAGCTGCTGATAGGCAGGAACACCTGTTTGGACCGGCTGCTTTGCGCAGCGCCTGCCCTTACTTGGTGCTCCTTGGTAGGTATCTACTTTGAAGCTGGACTTTTCACATTTGGGAATAAAGGACCAGCTTCTGGGGAGAAGAGCATCCATCGAGTCAAAACATAACTGTTCCCACCCCCCCGTGGGCACGCACAGTAACGTGGTGGTGAACGTCTCTGTGGACACCTGCTTTCTCGAGACCCGGACCCACAGTGTCTGAAATCAAGTGAGCCCCCCTGAAGACACCTTGAGCTAAAGGGTAGCTGAAGGATGGGCAGTGCCCCTCGGGAAGCCGCGTGCGCATTCCAGGAGAGTCAGGAGAGAACCCGGGCACCTGAGCCTGTTTACCGTGTTAGAAACTTTAACTCTCCTTTTTTTTTTTCCTTTTGATAATTTTCCAAATGGCTTGAAGTCAAGTCCCAGGAAAGGAGGCCCCGCTGGTAGGAGATGAAGTGTTTGGATCCGGTTCTCCAGGGCACTAGCATGAAAGGCTGTAATTCAAACTTCAAGGATACCGGAATCTGCAGCGAGTTACAGGAGATCCTGCTCCTGCTTCCCGAGCCCCGGGTCCCCCACCCTAGCTCCTCCAGCGGCCGGTGGAGCAGGCAGGGTCAGGGTTCAGCACCGCGGCCGAGGCGGTCTGCCTGCTCTCAGAAGAGATCCTGGTCTGAATAGGCTTTACCCTATTAGTGGACTGCGGAGCTCCCTGGAGAAGGGGCGCTGTGCGAACTGGGCACCCACCCCGGATGTTGTTTGCACAGAAAGGGGATCAGCCACCGTGCCCCTCCCCCGCCGCCTGCCTGGGAGCCTCAGGACAGCTGCTGGGTTAGAGCAGACCCAGGCCAAGGCTCCAGCTCCAACTGCTGTTCAGACACAGGGATGACCGCCCTCTAGGGCTGTGCTCCTGTGGTCGGTCCAGTGAAGGTCAGGGCTTCTCCGTTGTGTCCACCCGTCCAAGCTGTGCAGCCCTGATAGTCTTGAGACAGCCTTACAGACAGGTCTGGAGCAGATTGGCAGGGGGTGCTCGGGCACTCTCCTCCCCCATGCCCAGGTGAGGGCACAGAGCAATGGTAGGCCAACGTCCTGCCCCAGGGCGAGGGGAGTATACTGCAGGGTGTCTATGTCACTTTTAGCCCCCCACAGTGGCAGTGTGGGGACCTTGGGTCCTCTGTCACGCCCCCAAAGAGGAGGAGTGTCAGTGGCACAAACACCCATGGTGTCTCTGGCATGGGCTGGAGTCTCAATGACAGGCCAGACTCAACCTCTTGTGACCTTTCTAAAACCGTCATCCCAATAAATCCAGGAAAGGAGGGGGAAGTTCACCACTTACCTCAGGCCAGGAGAGCCCCAGCACCGCCGCCCAGGCGGCCTCTCCCTTGGCTCAGCAGGACACCCTGTGCCCAGGCTCCCCAGCGCCTGCAGCCACCCCTGGGTGTCTCAGTCCCTGTTCTCTGCTGAGCACAAGACAAGTCCGCCTCCTGGACTCTGAGTCCAGGCCTCTTCAGAGACCTCCTGAGGGAAAGGGAACAAGTGCAGCTCCAGGCAGCAGGACAAGCTCCCCCTAAAGACGGCAGAAGTCGGGGCTCTCACCAGGTCCCCTGTGGTCCCTGCATCAGGGACGCGCAGCCTGTGCTGAGAACTGCCTCCCTCTGCCTGCTCTGGGCTCCATGCTGCTCCCTGGAGGGTGGGGGGCTATGCCTCTGAGCCACAGGAGGGTGGCTCACCTGATGGAGCAGCCTCCAAGCGCTGGTCGATGGAGGCCGCTGGACCCCACAGGCTTGGGCTCGACTGTCCTCTTCCCAGTGCGATGCCCTGCCCAGGCTCGGCTCACCAGGAGGGCCTGCCGAGGTCGAAGGCCGTGAGGTTGGCTGGTTGGTGTTGACGAGTCCCTGTTGAGCCCAGGTGGGTGTCCTCGTCCCACACGAGTTAAGGCATAAACCCCCCAAGTGTCAACCCAAGACGACACACGACCATGACTCCGCAGGTCCAGAGACCGCAAGGAAGGAACAGAAACTCAGTGCTCCTCTCCACGGGGAGCCCTAGCCCACAGCCCCACAGCACCAAGGACCGGGGGCGGAAGAGCTGCCCCAACCTGAACTAACGCATGCTTCTGCTCACCTGTGAGTTCAGAAGACCCGCCCTCCCAGCCCAGAGCTGCAGCCCAGCCAGAACCCGTGCCTGATAACACTGGAGCACATTCCAGCCGGCCAGCCACCCATCCCGAGCTCAGTCACAGCCCATGGGCTGGGATTTTAGCTCAGTTGATAAAATGCTTACCTCACATGCACAAGGCCATGGGTTCAATCCCCAACACCACAAAAGAGAAAAAAAAAAGTGAAGGAATAAAATGTGGTTAATCTGGGAAATAGAATATTATTCAACCATAAAAGGAGTGAAGGCCTGACACAGACTACAGTACAGACGAGCCCTGAAACATGAAGGGAAAGAAGCCAGACAGAAAACCATTTACACGAGATATCCAAAATACCCACATTAACAGAGCAGAGCCATTAGAGGTGAAGGGAAACGGGGCTTCTCTGGGGCTGATGACGACATTCTGAAATTAGATTGTCATGAAGATTGCACAACTGCATGGATGTTCTGGGAAGAACTGAGCCGTGTACTTTGGACGGTAGGTTCTGTGATACGTGATCACGTCTTCACGGGATGAATGAAGCCCCTGAGGGGTGGCAGATGGACCAGGGGTGACGCCTGCTCTTGCACCTTCTTGGGGGCCTTCCTCACACCACTCTTAGGCAACAAGCTTTTGAGGGCAAAAGTTCCCAGAATTTGAACAAGTGCCCGATGTTATAGCAAAACGTTCTAGGGGACCCATCGACCCCGTTTTCTGGCTGATCACAGGTTCCTCTTTGAGGTGTAGTTTTAATGAACTGGCTAATTCCAGGGGAACTCAGAGATATCTAGAAGGAGCTGCCAACTTGGTCAAGATTGGAGGTTTGGATAAAGTTGGCCTGGAAGCCGTGCAAGTTTATCTATTTCCTAACATAACCCCAACTCCATGAAGTGTGCTTTCACTTAACCCGTCTCAGGGGATCTTCATTATGCTGTCTCCACAGCGGGTGTCCCTGCCAACAGGATCCTGGCCTCTGGGCCAGCTGATTTCTCAACCTAGGTACGCACACTAGCTTCATGTCCCAGTGTGCGCACTGCCCGGGGCCTGGTGATGCCAGGGCCTCCGGCTCAGATTCCCAAGTGTCCGCCTCCATGAGTGTTGACAAAAAACTTGTATTTCCTAATTGTTTAGAAACCAGGGCTCGACATGGGGGACTGGCAGGGCGGCCCCTCAGCCACATGAAGTGACCTAGAGGAAGAGCGAGCGTGAACCAGCCGCAGAGCCTTCTCTGTTCCCGGTGCCAGGCCTCACCAAGGCCTGACCCTCTGCAGTCCACACTAGGGTGGCAAGTGAAGGGACACACAGTTCACAGGGACTGTCAGAACTGCCCGGCCCCACTCCCCCCAATTATCGGTGAAGACACTGACTGTTTCCGGTCCTTCCTCTCCCAGGTGTGGGCTCCTCTGTGGACCTCGTCCCTGTCCCCTTCCTTTCCCTGCACACCTGCCTGAATGTGGCTGAGCCCTGGCTGGGCTCTGTGAGGAGAGCTGTACACGGACTTGAGACACGTGACTGCAACTCTCAGCACTGTGCAGCCCTCTCGTTCAGAGAAGTCACATGAGGACATTTCACCTGGGAATTGCATTGAGCCACTAGTGAGTGACGAAGACCCCAGGACACAGTCGCAGCTTGCCCAGAGGAGGGCCACAAGCTCCCAGAAGTCCACGGAAGGCGGCCAAGCTGGGAAAGCACTGTGGTGGCCGGAGCCTGGGGTGCTTCCTTCCCTTGTTCTCCTGCGCAGGTCTGCACCCTCAAACCACCCGCGGTCCAGGCGCTGCTGGAACTCTGCCCGACACAGTTGCCACCCAGCTGGAAGGAAGAGGAAATGCTGGGGTTGACAAAGGACGCACCTTCTCTCCGAGTCACTCCGGGTCACTGGGGCTGAGAGGACACTCACAGGCCGCCCAAGCACACCTGAGCTCAGCGCGCCTCACACTTGCGCTCACAGCGTCAGAAAGAAGCGTGAGGAAGGCTGGGAGACGCAGCCTCGTCCCGGGCAACCACGCGCTCAGGGAGCCGAGATCCTGGACCCCTGGTAGACCCCAGCTTGCTCTGCCACACAGATTGCGGACAGATTGTTTATTAAGAAATCAGGCCATGAATGAGCAGGAAGGGATTAGTGGTAACCTTGGAGGATGGGTCATTCCAGTATCTCCTGTTTTCTTTTTGCTTTTTATTGTTTTGTCTTTTCTTATTTTGAGATATATCTAAAAATGCAGACAAGACTTAAAAGAAATACAGTAAAAAGCCAATTGAGTAGATTCTGAAACAGATAAGGAGATGAGTTGCCAAGATTGTGATCCTGTAGAGAACTTACCTGTGTCTTCAGAAGATTTACGAGAGGAAGTGTGGCTTTGAAGGACTTCTAGGTCTCCTGGGGCCTCCCAGCTTGGGAGGGTGAAGTCTGAGGCCAGGGCATTGCTTCCTCCTGAGGACCGACAGCACTGGGGCCAGGCCTCAGCCTTCCCTGGCACGTAGGTGGCTGTCTTCCCGTCATCCCTCCCTATACGGGTCTCTGCATCCAAATCTCCCCTATTTGTAACGACACTAGCCACAGTTGGTTGAGGCCACTCACTCTAATAACCACATCGTCACCTGATCATCCGAAAAGGACCTCCCCAGAAAAAACGTGACCGTCATACACATCACAAGAGAGGACTTCGACATCCTCTAGGGGATGCAGTTCAACCCCATACACTTAAGAAAAATCATTATGACCATGTTTCTATCTAAAAACAAATTCCAACGTCATACGATTTCCTAACCTATTGCTGTACCAAAACAATTTCATTCATTGGTGCTCTCTATGAAAATTAAAAATGTGATTAATTCTTTTGCACCTTATTTGTGTCAAACATCTTACATATTTGCTTTAAAAAGCCTCTTTATTCTTAAGTATTTAAGCACAAATTAGAAGCCAATTTTATTGAAGGGAAATTAAGGACACAGATATTGAGATAAGATTAGAGGTCAATGTTCAAATTCAGAATCCTGGCTAAGTTATCATGAAAAAGTATATGTCACCCAAAACCCTTACATAATAAGCACAGCAGCTTTCTTCATAACCACCCAGGACTTTAGCCGGCGAGAGCTGGATGGTTAGACCAACTCTGGTGCTTCCCTCCGGGGAGCACTGCTCGGGAGTGAAAGGTAACAGGGTATGGAGACAGCAAGTGGATGAATCACCAGAAAATCCGACGGAGTGAAACAATAATTCCATCCTACCTACAGTCGGATGCCATTTTTATAGCATCTTTTAAGTGACACCATTTTAGAAATGGCGGGCTTACTGGGATTGCCAGGGGTTAAGGATGGAGGAAGCCCCGTGGGAGGGCGGGTGTGGGATGGTTCCGTGTCTTGACTCCAGCGGTGGATGTGTGAACCCAGGTGAGAAGAGAACCAGACAGGACGTCATCCACCCACACACGCATGTGCACCTGTGTGTACACACATACACACAATAAAGCAGAAATTCAACTGGGAAACCTGAATAAGATCTGTGGACAGTGTTGATGCCTAGGGAGGAGCTACAGACACTGTTCATGTAGTATACGTGTGGGTATAGACACATGCATCACAGTTCTGCAAAAGGTCACCGTCGGGAGAGGCATGGTGAAGGGCACGTGATCTCTGTCTTTAATATGTCTTACAACTGCTGTGAATCTACATTACCTAAATGAATTATGGCTTTACATATTTTCGAATTTATTTTTTTTGAAAACAATTTTGGTATGCTTTGAACTACAGAGCTGTGGTGACATGCAATGCAAGTATTATAAATGTTGTTTCTTAATGCATCGATTAGTCACCATGAAGACAAAAAGCAAAGTTAAAAGGATACGTCAGAGAGGAGATTAATGGAACTAGACTAGAAAAACAACATCTAGATGGAGCAGACAGGCGAGAGGGATGACTGGAATGAAGAGAATCTGTCCAGATGCGTTCATTAGATAAATATTAGGTACTCTGCTCCTCGGTTGAAAATTAAGATGGATTCAAAGCCATCTACTGTGGATGTATAAATCTCCCCTTTATAATAAAAGCTCTACAGCATTTTTCAATTAATTTCTTCATTATCTCGAGGAGAGTTATAATGTAAGGCTAAAGAAAAAATATAGTTGAATCGCGTTCAAAATCCACAAAGGCATTATTCATAAAATGCATCCCAAATATTTTTTCCATTGCACCTGAGCAATCGTACATCCAATGTGACCTCTGTCTCTCGGAACCTTAGTCAGTCCCAGCAGGGCTCACCCTGGCTGCCAAGCTGGCCTGGCCCTCATGCTCCTGTGCTCTTCAACGGGCTTCATTTTCTCGTTTCTGCACCTTGGTTATGCTCTAACCCACTATACAATGGGTTCGTTATGTCTGTAATTTGTTATCTGTCTTCCTCTTCCAGCAAAGACACTAGATGAGGCAGGGTTGGGGCTGCGGCATGAGATGATGTACCTGGAACATAGTTGGTGCATAATAAATGCGTGTGGACTGAATGGATGAATTTTAAGATGTTATGGTCTCATGTTCACATCAAACTTTCTGGGTAAAGACTGAAGGGAAGAAGGAAAGGTGGACCCACCGTTGCACCCGCACAGCGATGGCCTGAGCCCTTGAAGCAAGACAGCGATCGTGGGGTGAACCCTGCCATCCCTGAAACACTGTGACAGCGCGCCACAGTGGGCAGAGCGTTGCAGTGAGTGTAGAAAGTACGTACCCATGGCCAAGACGGCGTGTGTCACGTGTACTTACAGCTGAGAAGGAACACGAAAACTCCACCACAAATAGTGACACCCCAGCTGGAAAACTGTCACTGTCATAGAAGAGAGGCGGCCAGGGCTATGTGATTTTGTAAACAAGAGAGTTGCTGGATAGGTGTAGTTCAGTGGTAGGGTTCTCAGCGAGGGCATGGGGCCCTGGATTAGATCCCTAGCACTAGCACTGCAGAGAGACAGACAGACAGACAGAGAGGGAGGGCACTGAGCCCTCGGTGGAGGGCATCCTGGTGGCTTGGAGCCTGACGATGGGGGCAGCTCCTGGAGATGGAGCACTCTCAGGGAGGAGCCCAGGTCACAGGGCCCATGTGAGCAGCTACATTTGATGCAGGAGGCTGAGCTAGGAAGCAAAGGTGCGGAGGTAACACTGAGTCCAGATGAAGAAGTGCCCAGGCCAAGCAGGAGCCGCTCCTAATGAAGAGCTAGGGCTGCCTGCAGTTAACGAGACGCTCAGACCAAGAACAGGGTATTACTCACAATGCATGAATAATTCCCAAAGTCCAGGGCCTCTCCTGCTAATCCCAGCACAGCACATGGGTTGACGTGTACCTCCAACCATGGTGAGGGTTTGTGCTGATCCTTCCCTCCAGCCACCTGCCCCTCATCCTGAGCCATGGCACGCTCTCATGAAAGTCCCCTCTGAGCCAGGCACATTCCTGAGCACTGAGCAGCAGTTT